TTGAGCACTGTAATAAAATGAAACATTTGATTACTTTCACATTGGTTTTATTTAAAAACTAACTACATATTTCCACCTGTAGCTGTGTAGGAGTTATTGGTAAATTCTATTCAAAGCTAATAAATTCTAAACATGGAAAGCAAGACACTCCTCCAATATTCTGAGACTATTTACCTTAGAAAAACCTGAAAGAAAGCAAACTGAAATTTACAAGTACTATTGCTACGGAATCTGTGCCATCCTCTATTATGGTTTTTAACTAGATTATTTTCAAAATCCTTGCTTATGTAGTCAGTGGAACTTGGGGAACTATTTTCCCACAGCATTCCTTAAGAGGTCACCAAGACATGAGGGGGTAAAGAACACCATGCCAGCATATGTGACTGTGGGTCCGACATCTCTTGCTGTCTTCTCATATCTGACTCAACTGGCCAGTGATGAACAAGCAAGTACAGTCAGACTTAACCTTATGATGTGACTCAGGTCTCTGTGATCCTTCTCAAAGTTGACCATACAAAGTCTTGCCTTTTTCTGAAGGCCTCATGATTTAGAGAGGGCTGTAGAATAAATATCAGGCTGGAGTGTTGCTCAACATGTTGTCACCGCCTTAGTATGAATTCCTAGCCATTGAGTCACTTGCTTTTCCTAATAGGGGATGCTGATTTGAAACACTCGAGATGTCAGTGTGGGATCTTTTAAATCCACACAGCTTCCTATTAAATATTATGAAAACATAGTGGCTAAGATTATAAACTTCTAATTCATCCAGGGATGTGTCAGAGGCTCAGCACCATAGCTCCACGAGCTGGATGACTCTGGTCAGTTTCCATACCTCTCTGAGCTTCAGCTTCTTTAACTTCGAATCGATTGATAGAAGCTTGAGATATAACTCCATTAGCAGATTTACTCTCAAGTATGCACAGACTCTGATCCCTTGATCTACAGCCCCACACAAAGCATGACTTGGTAATATGCTTGTGATCATAGCACTTGAGAGGAGTAAACAGAAAGATCTAAAGTTCAAGCTCATCCCGAAGTACACAGCAAGTTCAACACCAGCCCGGGCCATATAACATCCTAACTCAATGTAAATAAACAAATAATTAAATAAATAAGCGATGATACCAAGTAACTTACAGAAATGTCTTTAGAATTCATGGAGGAGATGCATACAAACCCCTTCACATGGGCCTTCAAACATCAGGTTTAATTATGGCTAAACATTATATCACAAGGCCACAAATACAGCATTATATAACTTATATAATGCCAAGTTATATAGGTGACATATATATATGTGTGTGTGTGAGTGTGTGTATACATATATATATACATATATATATATGAGAGGTAGAGAGACCAAACAGCCTCACTTAAACAGTCATCTCAGTTTCCAGATAAATGAAGGAAAGAGCTTCAATTCTTGACTAAACGTTCTTTATATGTTTTGCTGTAGACTATTTTCGTCAAGTCTATGTGTAAGCATGATGATTTGGTAAATAAATTTAATTAGATACACACTACTGCATTCTATTACATGAAAAATTACACATATGCTTTTTAGTTACTAAGAGGTAAGGGCCACTCCATAAACTAAGTGGGCTTTATAGATGTCAGTAGTTATCTCTAAGATTCAGCCTCTGTCTCTATCTCTGTCTCTGAAGAAACCACTTAGCTCACAGAAGATGTAGTTTGGTCTTTGTAATGTGCAGAAATGAGAATAGGTCTGTGATTCCTAAAATGAAATCTCTATGTCATCAACTCTGAGAGATGATAAGTAGTGTTCAGTCCTCTAATGTTTGGAAAATCCCAGGTAACGTGTTTCTACCATAAGATATATCAAATGAGCTCTGATTTGGTAGCATTTATTTACCAGAGGAATGAAGCTTTCTGTATTTCTCCAACATCAGTTTGAGATTTTATTTTTATCATTAAGTATATTATTTGGCTGGGTGGTGGTGGTGCATGCTTTAATCCCAGCACTCAGGAGGCAGAGACAGATGGATCTCTGTGAGTTCAAGGTCAGCCTAGTCTACAAAGCTACACAGAGAAACCTTATCTCACACAAACAAAAAACAGTATATTAAGAGATTGGGTTCTAAGAAATTGTGTGTGTGTGTGTGAGAGAGAGAGAGAGAGAGAGAGAGAGAGAGAGAGAGAGAAGGTATGTATATGATGCATACATATGTGTGGTGTACACATATGGTAGTATATGCATGTGCGATATATACAAACATATGAGCTAGCCCTGTGTATAGTATGTTGATCCATATGATGTAGATATTGTATGGTATATGCATGTGTACGGTGTGGTGTGTGTGTAGTGTGTGTGTGTGGTGTGTGAGCAGTGTATGTGTGTGTGTGGTATACGGATGTCTACGTGTATGGCATATGCATGTATATGATATGGGCATGTATGTGGCATATGAATATGTATGATGTATAAATGTGTTTTGTGTGCTTGTGCATGGTATATACATATGTGTCATGTATGCCTGAGTATGATGTATGAATGTGTGTGATATATGCATGTGTAATATATGTATGTGAAGGCAAAAGGAGGATAAAATGTCTTCCCATCTATTGCCTTGAGAAATGGACTCTTCCTAAACCTGGATCTCACTACTTTTTTTCTTGTTTGTTTGTCTTGGCTATGCTGGCTGTCAGGAAACCCCAGCAATTCTCTTGTCTCCACTCTGCTATCATTCTGGCTTTTATGTGGGGCAGGTACCCAAATTCAGGTCTTATACTTGCATAGCAAGCGCTCTTACCCACTGAACCATATCTCTAAGTCTCTAAGAAAATTTAGTGGGGATCCCTCCAGCCCTGAAACCTAAATTTTCTTCCTTCCTTCCTTCCTTTGTTTCTTTCTTTCTTCTTTGGGAACTCTCTGGTCCTTTCCACAGTCCAGATGTTTATCAGGCACCCTGCACTTTTGGTTTTGTGTTACCAGTACATTAATCAGTGTGTGCTGATAACTGCTAAGATGATCCCAATAACTGCAGAAGTAGAGACATAAGATCCTTGTTTTCAGTGGGAAAAAGAAAAGACAGTTTGGGACCTTTCCACAGTGTTTGGTCTCAGTGTCTGTCAGGAATGCCATCTAACACAACATCCCTTCTTGGTAGGCTGGATGCTGCTAGAGAAAAGGGCACTGAGAAATATTGCTTTTAAAAATTAACCAAATAGCACCAAGAAAGTGACTCGATTTGACCTCTAAATATCTGAGCTGCCATTGTAAAGTATGTGCCCAGTAGGGTCTTCCACAGTGTATGACAAAAACTGCGCAAGGTATATTCAAGAACCCTGCACTGTCCTCTTCTCTCCCCTTTTCTCCAGGATATTTCAAGGAGGTAATCCAGGAAAATGCCTTTCTTCTAAATTAAATTAGTTTTATGACATGCTTATTCTTGTCCAGAAAGTTAAAATGTTTACTTTATCCATCAGATTAGGCAAAGCACAACTGAGAGTAGTGAGAGGAGCATGCATGCTATTTTCATGAATCATGGTCAAAGAAACTGTCGAAAAAGAAAGCCACACTTCTGTGATACATTTCAGGTGGTGGGAAACGGGATATGGAGAGGAATGATGTGCATGACCAGAAGCTGTCTGCCAGCTCTCACTCCAGAGGAGGTCAATGCTGTTGCATTCTGTGACTGTATATTATGTTTTAGATTCCATAGAAACCTGAAGGAAGTGGCCTGTGACACAGTCCTCAAGACCTGAATCATCAGGTTTTTGAAAAGGGGTGACAGGAGAGCTGGAGGATGTCAGGGATGCCGCTGTACCCTAACACACATTATCCTATACCCTCTCCACAGCCAAGGGACCTCTCTCTTTCTCACATGGCATGTAAGTGAGACAAAGTGCCCACACGACAATCTCCTTAGTCATCATCACAACTCAGATTTAAAACAGTCATTGTCTCCATTCTCCAGATGAGAAGACTGTGGTTCGTGCTTACTAACTAGTCAGGATGTGGGCATCTCAGAGATAGAGAAGGAGGGAGAGGGAGAGGGGGAGAAGAACGGGAGGGGAAAGGAAAGAGGGAAAGAGGGATTTTAGGGGATTCATTGATTCTTTCTTCAGTTTTCTGCTATTATTCTTTCAACAGTTTATCAGTGTTGGCCAGAACCTGGTAATACAAATATTTATGGGCCTGAAGCACATTAGCTTACTAACCCTTAGTAACTGAAAACCTCCAATAAAAATTGAGTTAGTATTAATAAGGAAAGAACACATTCGTTGTTTCTGAACAAAGAGAATTTACTTCTCTGTCGCAACTGATTCTTTAAGAGAGAGGACCCTGAAATTGCAAGTTTTCCATAAATACTGATATCTTTAGTGTCCAGTTTTTAAATTATTTTGCGTTCTTTCCTCATTAATACTAATTCAACTTTTGATTACTCTAGGTATTGGCTGCTTTCCTTCTCTTGGATTGGTGGAGATGGAGAGCAACTGTGTACCGGGTGGATCTACTTCCCCAATGAGTTCTGAAAGCCAAGGTAGTCCTTGTGAAGTCAGAGCTACAAACCAGTTCTGCAGGGGACCAGAAGGACCCACTGTGCAATCTAGAGAAAGTCCTCTGATAGTAGTAGGTATGTGGCTCTGAAGAAACAAGGTGGGGGGCGGGTGTTCCAGTAGGCTTTTGGAATGTTCCAGAAAAAGATTCTTTCCTAGTAGTATCAATGAGGAAAAGAAGCATTCAGCAGCCTGCTCATAGCAGTTAAAATACTCTTGAGCTAGTTCTTTCTACAAATCAAACACATTTCAAATTCTTCTAGCTATTTTTTAAAGTTTCTTAGACATGAATTTACCTCCAGTTGTATTTCCCACCTCCCAAACTATTTAAAGGTATTTCTTAAACATAAGAGTTCTATCTCAGCTCTTCTGTGCCAGAAGATTCTGAAGAATTTTGCTCCTCTCTTTCACGGGAAACAAAAAATAAAACTGTGGTGATGTCCAACAAAATTCTAATTACACTTTTTTTTTAAGGAATCTTTGCATTGCCAAAAGAGCAGCTGACCTCAGTGGTTGCCAGGCAACATTGTCCACATCCAAGCTGTCGCCCAGCGGCCTTGTGGCATCTGCAATGACTCAAGGCTGGGAAGCTTGGTGCAGCTCGGGCCAGGCACTGGAGCACAAGGCTAACAGGATACGTGCAGCGTCCTGAGCACTATTGGCCAAGATCAGGCCTGAAGTGAACTCTTGTGGCTTGAAGATTCCCGAGCAACAGCAGCCCCTTTTTGAGAAGTGGGATAATTTGTTTTTGGCAAAACACTGTTTCTTTTTTCGAGGGTGAGAAGAAAAAGAGTGTGGGAAAAGCTTTGGAAATCTTGCAAGACCTCTTGGACACGGACTATGTGTTACCAAACATATTTTTGACGAGTTATGTGTTAACCAACCAAAAACAGACAGATTGTCTTTCCCATGTCGGCTTCAAAATGCAGCAGGGTAAGTGCCATTGCTGAACACCCTGAGAAGCTGCCGAACCCTGTCATTTTCAAAAGCTTGTCAAAAAGCCCAGAGCACGAAAGGCCAGAACGGAGTTGCCTGTCCCTTTCTGCAGGATGTGTGCAGCCTTCTGGGAGACAAAAAGGGAAAAAAATGAACAATACCAAATCAAAGAGTTCCAGCTGTCAGTGAAGGGTGGTCCAGAATAAAACTTTCAAAGGAGAAAGATATTCGTTTTTAAAGCATAATGAGTTCTCTTTGTCATTGAAAATTCATCCAAAGACGTATTTCATGACTACTTTTGACAGGCAATGATCTGAATATTTGATGTACAGAGATATTTCTCACCCTCCAAAAGCTCTTAAGTACTCCCTGAGGAATTGGTGCCATAAGCAGGTAATTACAATGCATTGTCATGTTATAGAATTCAAGGTAACAAGAAGCAGAATACTAATTCTGGTGAGAATGGAAAAGATCTTGAATTGAATTGCCACAGCTTTTTAAAAATTCATTTAATTTTTAATTGACACATAAAATTCGAACACGTATGGGGTTACTACACATGGTGTTCAGATCAGGCTAAGCATCTAACTCCTCAAGTAGTTTTAATTTCTTTGCCATGAAAATATTCTGAATCTTTAATGTTGCTGGAAAGTCAGTGCACTATTGATGTCTATGTCACCCTGAAGTCCACTAGAGCTCAGCTTCGCAGAGCGTGCTCATGGTCTCCTACAAGGTCCTATGGCTAAATGTAGAGTAGAAGAATTTTGACAATGGTAGATTTTCTGAGCATGAAATGGCAAAAATAGTAACTCAAAATCAATGTCTAACAAATTCAAGGTGTTTATGGCAGAGTCACATCATGTCTCTTCCCTATAGCTGTAGTAATGACCTCACACCATGCAAAAACTGCTTTGCCCACCCTGTAGCAACAATGCCTTAAACACGCAGATCAACTATAATTTTCATTGCTTTTTTACTGAAACATAATTGTGTGTTTACACAGATCACATCAGTATATCTGTAGATTACACTGTGTTAGAATGTTTGGCTTTTAAAATCCTTAGATAAGTCCCCTGTAAAAATTATTAAATTGATTTTGACTTAGTGTTATTTTCTAACAATTTCTGAAATGACCTTACATATATTGATATTATTTTTTACTATGTATTTACAAAAACCAGAAATCTCAGTACTGACAATTATAAAATCAAAAATAAAATATTGATTGACTGTGACAGTGGAGTTGTCTTATGTCTAGCAGCATCAAGCATCCAATCAAGATTCGGTTCTTTATGTGAAAATAAACAAGGTATGCCCACCTCCTTAATGTAAAGATTAGCTTATGGCTTAAAAAATGGGGGAAAAATGTGTGCGCTAAATAGTACTCTTAAACCTAATTTCTTGTCGGGCAGTGGTGGCGCATGCCTTTAATCCCAGCACTCGGGAGGCAGAGGCAGGAGGATCTCTGTGAGTTCGAGGCCAGGCTGGACCGACAGCCTCTAAAACCCTGTCTCATAAAACCAAAAAAAAAAAAGCTAATTTCTTCATGATTTGTTATCATTGACTGATTTGTATACCTACCTTATGAACCTGGATATCCAAACAGCATGTAATAATTCCTCAATCAAAAAGAATTGTGAAGGAATATTTTAAAATCTCTGTCATTGAACCCCTGATGTGTTCTATGGAACTATACTGTACTGCTTGCTCACTAGCGCCCCCTTCCCTTCCCACCTCACGCCCCTCCCATTTTCTGATACCCACTTCTCAACTTTCATCCTCTGTGAGAGCAACTTCTTTAGGTTGTATATAATTAGTGAGATAATGTAATACATGTCTCTTTTGCCCTTGCTTATTTCCTTCGATGTAACACCCTCCAGTTCTGTAAATGTTACTGTAAATGACATAATTTCTTTCTTCTAATGGCTGAATAGTATTCAGTTGTGCTTAATGTAGCACATCTTCTCTATTCATCCATTAGCTAATAAGCATTTTTTCTCTGCCGTGGCTATTGTGAATCGGGTTGCAGTCAACGTGGGAGTGCAGATGTCTCTGATATTTCTTTTGGCTGTGGATCAAGTAGTGAGGTTGCTGGACAGAATTACTTGGGAAGTTTTGAAGAATCTTCATTCTATTTTCAACAATGGCTGTATTAATCTATACTTAAACCAACAGTGTGTAAGAGTTTGTTTTTCTCCACACTTGATTTGCTTTTATGTTTTTTAAGAAAGCCATTCCAACTGAAGTAAAGAACATCTTCCTGGTCTTTTTGATTCCTGTTTCCATGGTAACCCATGACACAGTATTGTTCATATAGCCATTTGCAGTTCGTATGTCTCTTTAATAGAGATGTTTACATCTCTCTTTAAATCAGACTGCTGCTTGTCATTTCATTGCCGAATTGTCTAAGGTCCTTCTGTGCCCTGACCCTTACCGCCTTGTCAGTTGTAGAGTTTGTGATTCGTTCTTTCCCCCTTTCTGCAGGTGGCACCTTTACTCTGATGATTACTTCCTTTAACTGCGTAGAAGGTTAGTACTTGATGCTGGTATTTATTTTATTTATTTTGTGTTTAATGATGTTTCTGTCCCATGCCTTGCAAATGCTAGATACCACTGAGCTCCACCCAGCATTTCTACTTTGGTTGTTTGCATGCACGAGTGTGTGTGTGTGTGTGTGTTAGATTTTAGATAGAACCTTGCTATATAACTCATTCTGGCCTTAAATTTTTCTGTGTAGTCCATATTGATCTCAAACTTAATATTCTTCTGCCTGAGCTTCCCAAATTTGGGGGTAAAAGTTGTTTTAGCTTCTTTTCTGTTGTTGGTACAAACACCATGACCAAAGGTAACTTAGGAGAAGAAATGATTTAATGTCTTATAATTCCAGGTCACAGTCTATCTCTATGAAGGAAATCAGGGAAGGAACTCAACCCAAGCCTGCTTATATTCCACACAGCATGGCCTGTGTCAATCAAGAAGTCAGCAGAAACTATGGAGAATTCTGTCCATCTGTCAGCAAGATCAGATAGCTTTTTATGTTTCCCAGGCCCACCAGGCCAGAGGATAACACTGTCCACAGTGGCCTTGGCCTTTTCCTACATCAATTAACAATCGAGACAATCCTTCACAGACGAATCTGATCTAGACAGTTCTTCTACCCAGATTTGCCTCTCAGATGATTCCAGGATGAATTAAATGGACAATTACAGTTAACCAGAACAAAGGTATAAATGCCATACCACACTCTTTATGTGATCCCACTTGTCTATATGTTAGTTGTTCTTGTTGTTTCCCGTGCTTTGGATATCACTTTTTAATGTTTTGCCAGCTGCAGAGTCCAGAAATATTTCCCCTATGTTATCTTCAAGCTCTTTCTTAATTTCAGGTCTTAGAGTATCAGATTTATGTCTTTGATCCATTTTGACTTGTGCTGAACACAAAAGGTTAAGATGGGCTCCTGTCTAACCTAGGCCATAGAAAGCTTCACCATTTAGTACTGCATTCATTAATTTTCTGTTGCTATGATAAAACACCATGACCAAGGAAACTTATAGAAGGAAGAGTTTGTGTTTATGGTTCCAGAATTATAAAAGTCCATCACAGTGGTGAGGCATGCGCAACAGGATTGCATGGCAGCCAAGAGGAGGAAGGTAAGAACTCACCTCCTCAACCATAAGCACAAAGCAGACATTTTTTATTCAAATCATCACAGATATGATACCTGCTTATGTGGTTTTTAGGTACATTCCTCTGTGTCTAATCTGTTCACAGTTTTTTATCATGGAAGAATGATAAATTTTAAGAGAAATTTTCTGCATCTAGTAAAATGATAACATGGCTGTTGCTGACAATTTTGTTGATGCAACTTGTCATATTTATTGACATGTGTAGGTGGAACCATGCTTGTGTCTCTCAAATGAAACTTACATCATGGCTGATGGTTTTTTAAATCTTCAGTTCACTAGTATTTTGCTGAAGATTTTTCTATCATCAAGGATAACTCTGTAGATATTTGTTGTAAATGTGCTGTGTCTGATTTCTGTATTGAAGTTATGCTGTCTTTATGAGTATAGTAGAACACTTTCATATTTTAAACTAAGTTAAGAGGAAATGATGTTTGGTCTATTTGCGGGTATTTGATAGAACTCATCAGTGACGCTCTCTGGTCTTGGGAATTTCTTTAAGGGGGGAATTTCTACTATTGTGCTAATTCAGTCTTGTTGTGTTCTGGTTTCATTTTTCTTTACAGCTGAATAATATTCTGCTCTATATATGTGCCAAATTTTTTGTGCCAGTGCCATACTTTTCTATTACTATGGATCTGTAATATGTCTTGAAGTCTGGAATAACAATCCCTCCATTCTTTCTTTTTGATCAGGATTGCTGTGGCTATCCAGGGTTTTTCCTGGTTTCATTTTAATTATAGAATATTTTTTCTATTTCTGTGAAGAATGTTGTGGGTGTTTTGAGTGATATTGAATTGACTCTGTAAATTGCTGTTGAACAGGTTAGTTATTGAAAGCCTTCTTGCAGTCTAGTTTCCAAGGAACATTATTGAGGCTACCAAGAGAGTGGAGTGAGTAATAATCTTACCCAGGTATGACACCTATGAATCACAACAATGGTCAGCATGGCACAATATATATAAAGTTACAGTAAGTGACACATGTCACCAGTAACCAACAAATATCCAAATGAACTTAAGGTCCACTCAACAAGAAGGAAACCATGTCCAGCACTAGAAATCTAGCCAATTTTCTTTGGCTAATGAGATTTTGAATCTTAGAAGAGGATCTATTGCTGTTACTTTGCTAGGACAGGATAATTCCTAACTACAATCTAAATCTTATCCCTATATTCAAAAATAGATGTGACTATCACTCTGCAGAAGACTGTCTTTGCAGAAATTGGAGACCTTCACAGAAAATCACACTTGACACATGTAGAGATCAACATTTGAAGGTGAGCCCAGCCATGATGGGTACATCTGCAGAACAGCTCCTGCACCTATAGCCCAGGGAACATCATGGAAGAGAGGAAGAAAGATGGTAAAAGCCAGAATATCTGGAAGTCATGGTCTCTTCTAGAAATGGCAGCATAAAAAAATTTAAAAATTGAAACAAAAAATCCAGAACAACTGTCTCCTCCAGCAAGCAAGTTACCAAAGGAAAAAATGCCAAGTTGAAGAAGATGGCCCTGGCTCCCACCATTGTGAAGAAAGAGGAGCCCAAAAAGGTGCTAAATCCTTTGATTGAGAAAAGCTTAAGAACTTCAGCACTGGGCAGGACATCCAGTTCAAAAGAGGTCTCACTGGCTTCCTCAAATAGCCCCACTATCTCAGGCTGAAATGGCAAAGGTCCATCCTCTAAAGTGGCTCAGAGTACCTCCTGCCATTAACCAGCTCCCCCAGGCCCAGGACTGGCAAACAGCTGCTTAAACTTACCCACAAGAACAGGCCATAGACAAAGCAGGAGAAGTAAAGGCTCCTGGCGTATGTTGAGAAGAAAGTTGCTGGCAAATGGTACATCCCAACTAAGAGACCTTTGATCTTTGACCTCTACCTTTGATCAAGGTCAATACAGCACCACCTTACAGGAGAAAAAGAAGACTGAGCTGATAGTAATTGCCCATGATGTAGATCTCATTGAGCTGGTGGTCTTCCTGCCTGCCCTGTGTTGAAAGATGACAGCTGCCTCATGCTCCTGTGGACAAATCCCTAACCATTAGGGGCTGAGCCCCTCAAATTGTGAGCCCCTCAAACTATAAGCCCAAATAAACTCTTTTCTCCTTAAAAATTTTTTTTAAAAAAGAAAGATGGAAGTCCCCTACTGTATCATCAAGGGAAAGGCCAGGGACATCTGGCCCACAAGAAGACATTCTCCACTGTTGTCTTCACGCAGGTTAATTTGGAAGGCAAGGATGCTCTGGGTAAGCTGGTGGAGGTATTGGGATCAATTACAATGACAGATACAAGAGATCCACCACCAGTGGGGAGGCAATGTCCTGGGTCTTAAATCTGTGCCTGTCAAACTGGAAAAGGCAAAAGCCCAAGAACTCATCACTAAACTGGACTATATGTACACTACTAAGTTTTCTGTACATGTAATTACAAAATTATATGCCATAAAAAATAAAATCCAGAATAGTGGCATTATCAGTAAGTATGCTAATGCAAAAGGAATGGTTCTCACCCCTAGATATGCACCTAAATCTTAAGTATATGTTAAGTATACAGAAATGTTAAAGTTAAAGGAACAAATATATTCTATAAAGCCACAATTCAAAACAAGGTGACATACAGTATTAGTATCAGACAGAATTTACATCAAGCAAAACAGTTTACTAAGAATAAATAGTGGACATGATGTATTCACAATAGAGCAATCATTATGAGTTTAATAGCTATTCAAATTTGCATGTGTCCAGCCAAAACTACTCAAAATATAGAAATCTTAAATTAAAATAAGGAGATAATAGCAGATTATGAAGAAATTAGCGTAATTACACCAGAAATCGAGTTTAAGTCTATAAATCTCCAGGTAGAAGAGACTCTTTGAACAATTACATAGTGTATATCAAGAAACTGAGTATCCTGAATTTATCTTATTGCAAGTCCTGCAGCGAACAGATACAGAACACGTTTTTGTTTTTGTTTTGTTTTGTTAACCCTTATAACTTTGAAACGGCAAATGAATGTTCCTTGGAATATTTCTTTTAAACATATGTTTTCACCTTCTTTTCCCTGCATTGCATGTTCTATGACTTATGTCTTCCATGTGTCTACTGACGAATCATCCACCGAGTCAGAGGATGTCTGCTGTGGCTGTGATTTGAGACTGATGCATCTCCTGGGACAATCCCAACTTGACCTATGTCTTCCTCTTCAGTGTTTGAGGAGTCATTAGATGCAGATTAAGTCACCCTGATGTGAATTAAATTTAAACTTGTGGCCCAGACCTCAGACATATTCACTTTAGCTTTCTGAAGGGAAAAGTGTCCCTGTGGGGTCTTGACTGCATTTAGAGTAAGACGTATGAGTTCAGCCATTACTTGTCTCTTTGGAAGTCTGCAAGATAGCACAAGGAATGCAATATACTAAACCAAAGAATCATGGACATTGACCAGCACTCTTTGTCATCTCCAAGTTAGCCTTCTATGGTTTTTCCCAAACATAGGGTAATTATCGCAGTTGGCCTGGGGAAATGTGCCCCCTGACCTAAGTCAATTACTCCAGGCATCTGTTACAGGACTGGGATGCTTCCTGTTTTTACTTTCCCAGTGACATAGAAAAATTAATATGCTGCCTTTGGAAGTGACACCATTACTGTGGGCTTACTCTAGGCTGAGAACTCATTATAGCACAATAGCTGCCATAGCAACTACTAATGTTCACATATTCTGCAGACTCTTGCCTAATCTGGTTTCATCTGATATCACCAAAATCTTACAGCCTGGAAAGGGATTTCTTGCCTCAATTTAATCTCAACGTGAGATTAAAGGAATTAAAAGTGACACTCATAATACCACATAGCTGTGTGACAAATGTATTAGAACACAGCTTTTCTAAGTCAAGTATCTCTGCTTCTTTTCTGCCTCTTAAGTCCATTTAGGTGCATGGAGCTCTGTTTTATGGGAATGTATTTTACTGTTCTGGGTCATCTTGACCACACCTAGAAATACCCAAATTACACATCTGGCAAAGGGAAAATTCTCTGGAGCCAGACATCTTGGGCTCAGATTCTGACCTGTAGCACAGTATAAACTCTGCAATCTTAAAAAACATTTCCTAACTTCTCTGTACTACAGTTTCTTTGACTATAAAATGAGAAGGTGAATTTTACCCCAGCTAGCTATAGGAATTTGTACACTCACCATAAATTCAAAGTAAATAGAATAACATGGCATGTATCAACTGGTCAAGAAAGATTTTCTGCTAGAACACTGTCATTAGTAGAGTACACCTGAACTTCTGGAAGTGAGGTCATGGTTTAATTCTTGTGACCTAAATAAGGTATATATCTTATGATACAAAGTTAGTCTGAAGTAAAATGAAATAACTCCTGTTTGAGGATATGCAGAGGACTATGTGCTTACCACAGCTAAGGTTGGAAAGACACTGTCTGTCCACAATGCCACATTTTCCAGAGGTAAGAAGAGTGTCACTTCAGCCAAAATGGATTTTCTCCAAATTCAGTATTTTCCCCTTTTCTGTAGCCAGCTCACTACTGCCTACTCATTCTTACTCTGTGTCCGCTCCTTGAAGTTCCATTTGGAAAAGAATAAAATAGACGGACATATGAATTACCAAGAGCCCAATGCTGGTGACAACAGACACCAATCAGCCACTGCATCCAAATATCCTCCCTCCCTCTTCCTGCCACCAGCTGCTTCCCTTCAGTCCACAACATCTGCTGGTTCAAGTTCTGAACCTAAATACAATGCATAGAAGTGTTCAGCACATGTCATGTAAAGCCAACAGTAAAACCCTGATAATTTTATCTGTCTCAGTTATCTGGGGATGACTTCAGTGCAAACATTCCTTTGTGACCTCTCTGTTTTCATCCTTTTTCTGAAAGGCCTTTTCTCTTCCTTTGGCTTCAGACACTACCTGCTTCTCTGAATCACTTTGTGGCACTGCCATGCAAGGCTGCCTGATACTAATACGGTAGGGGTTTTATAGGATAATTTGCTCATCCCTTTAACTTTTCTGTATATTTTAGATTCAGATGCCTGTATTTTAAGACTACATACTAAAGAAAGTAACAAAAGGTGTGATTGGAAACCTTAAGGGAAACTAGAGTGGTTCCTTCATGGCACACTAAAAATCACAATTCAGTGTTTGCACTGTAACTCCAATTCTCAGTAGAAGACATAAGGGTACTGATGTTATGATCTTAGAGGTGTGATACTGCCTTCTGCATCTAACAAGGTTAAAATTTAATGTCCAAGAACACATCTGAAAAGAACACAAGATGTAAAAATAAAACAATAGATCAGCTTAGAGTCATGGAAGGTAATTTAAACAATCAAAATATTGGAAAGAAGTTTCATTAAAGTAGCTAAAAGAACACTAAAAGAGTTAGAAGAGATGGTCACAGAAATGAATACCAACAAAAGTGGATCAAACATTGGTTCCAAACATCAAAAGAGATGACTGAACATAGATCCCTACCATAAGCCCTGGTGTCATTACATTAATACAATTAAACTAGATGAAGAAAAAAAATCTTAGGCACACTGAGGCTAATGGAGACAGACAATAACTTACTTAAAGATGTCTTCCAACAGGAGGGGAGAGTAGTCATGGCACTTACAGCTTATATTCAGACAAACTGTTATGAATGAATAAGAGAAAAATAAAAAGCATTTTCACACTTGTGAAGATTTTGGAACTTATTTATCTCTACAAGTTCCCACAAGAACCATAAGGGAGTGTGCATCTAAAAGAAGAAAAGAATAGCTGGGTGGTGGTGGCAAAAGCCTTTAATTCCAACACTAGGGAGAAAGCCAGAGAAAGCCAAATTTCTCAGTTCAAAGCCAGCCTGGTCTACAGAGTGAATTCCAAGACAGCCTGTCCTGGAAAGATACACAGAGAAACCCTGTCCTGGAAAGAAAGAGAGGAGGGGGGATAAAATTTAATAAATAATACTGGCCATGTATTAGCCTTTAATGTTCATTTTAATTTTTCTGGGTTTCTTGTTTATTGTTTCATGTTACTGATCATTTTAACTTATTATGGACATGATCTTTTCATTAAAAAATACTAATCTTTAGGTTTTTATTTGAAATTTTAATACAATATATTTTGAACTTATTCTTTCCCCTCCCCCAACTCCTTCCAGATCTTTCCCATGTCTCTACCCATCTAACTTCATGTTCTCTGTGTGTGTGTCTCTCTCTTTCTCTCTGTCTCTCTCTCAAAAGAAAAACATACATGCACACGCGCGTGTGGGGGTGCACACGTGCACACACACACACACACACACACACAAATAGAGTTCATTTTGTGTTGACCAAGAACAGGAGTTCTTGAAGTCTGCCCTGGAGTATGGCTCATATACCTAGTGAGACTTGGCTGGAGTAAACTGATTTTCACTTTCCCAGAAGAGATCAATTACAAATAGCTTCTAAGTTAGGTGTGGAAATTTGTATCTGCTTCCCCTTCTCAGCACTTGGATTTTGTGTGGTTAGAACCTGGGCAGGTCTTGTGCATGCTGTCACAGTCTCGGTAGTGTATGTGTCTTACCAGTCCTGTTGTGTCTGGAAGATGCTGCTTTCTTGGAGTCATCCACCATCTCAGACTCTTACAACCTTTCAGACTCCTTTTCCACATCAATCTCTGAGCCTTGGGAGGTGTGGCTAACGAAGATATCCCATTTAGAACTGAATGCTCCAAAGTTACTCACTTTGAACATTATCCAGCTGAAGGGTTTGTGTTAATTCCCATCCACGGCAAGAAGCAGCTTCTCTGGTGAGGGCTGAGAGATGCTCTAAATGTGACAAGATCTTGACAGTGCCTTCTCAAACTTGGGAACACTTTTTGTGTCTGCTAATGACCTCCAGGCCCCTACCTCTAACCTAATACTCTACCTCATGTAGGAATCCTCCTCTTTCTTCTCTCCAAGGCATATACAAATCCTAAGACACATGGTACATCCCCCATAAGTCTTGAGCAAGTGAATGCTTTGTCCCCCGCTGGTTGGGAAGCATTGAGAGGTGTGGACTTGCTGGAAGAACTATGTCCTTCTGCCAGATTTCAAAAGACTTCATTTCCCATTAGTTCCTCTGCCTCCTGATAGTGATTCAAGGTGTGAGCTTTCACTCTTCCAGTCACCTGGTGCCTACTACCTCTGCTCCATCATGGTCTCTAACCTTCTGAAGCCTTAAGCCCCAAATAAACTCTTTCTTTTGGAAGTTTCCTTGGTCACGGTGTCTTATCTCAGCAATAGAAAATTAACTATGCAGATACAATTAGCTTTCTCCTGTGTTTGAAGATTTAAACCACACATCTTAAAGCCTCAGTTTCTAAATAAAACATAATCTATGTGACCAATGTAAGTTTATGTATAATTTATTTAGGTCAAACTCTATGTTAATACTTCTTTCAGAAAAAAAACGTATTGGAAAAAGTGGGAGCTCATAATACATAAAAGAACCACATTTTCTCTCATTAGTAACTTGTGTTCTACCCAGCTGAAATTTTTGCTCTAGCCAGAAACTTCATTTTAGGAAGAGTCTTTCCTCTGATTTCACTTTCCATTGAAATTTCCTTCTCCTTCAGCCTTCGGCCACTCTAGACAACCACCATTCCGCTTAGTAAACATTTCCTTTGTTTCCTTGTCTACACATAGGAAAATTATTTACCTTTCCCTCCACATTTAATGTCAACCTACATGAATATATTTTCCCCAAGCTCTCAATCTCCAAAGGGAGTATCGCTCACATCCTGAATCCCCCAACCCCTTCAACGCCACGATCACCCTTACAGAACTTCCAGAACAAGTTGGCCTTTTCCATCATGATTGATATATGAGTGTGTGTCTGGCAGGTTTATTAACAGCAGATTTTAGATGCTAAGATAAAGTTTACATAATTGGGACACTCAGAAGATTAAAATATAGAAGGGGAAATTTGTTGGAATGATAACCATCCTCCTCCTACTCACACAGGGATGTGATATGCAGAGCAAGAAGATGACAGGATGTGAGGCATAAATGAGGAGGCTACAATCCCTGATTGAAGTATCTCCTCCCACCCTCACTCCTCAGCACCAACACTGCATCACAGATAACTGCTGGACCCCTCTGGGAGGGTCAGGAATGCCTTTGAATGAATCATGCTTTAAGATTAATAATCTAGTAAAGAAGAGACCAAACTACTTTATCTCATGTAAAGTGTTATGTCAAATGCTGAAATTTGCTACCAGCTGAAAATATTTTCTCAGGAGATGCTGAAC